CCGGCTTGGACAACAAAGGAAGAGGCCCCAAGCCAAGGAATGTGGGTGACCTCTACCAGCTAGAAAGGGAAAGGGACCAGCCTTGCCATTTGCCTCGTGCAACCTCTTTGTGGGGGCGGGGGCAGCATTGTGGCGTAACAGGTTAAGCCGTCACCTGCAGCATCGTCATCCCTTATGGGCACCAGTTCAAGTCCCGGCTGCTCCACTTCTGATCCAGCTCCCTGCTAATGCACCTGGGAAAGCTGTGCACCCATGTGGGAGACCTGGATGGAGCTCCTGACTCCTGGCTTTGGCCTGGCCCAGCTCCAGCAGCACAGCTGTTTGGGGAGTGACCCAGCTGAGGGTAGACTTCTCTCTCTTTGTCTCTCCCTCTCTCTAACTCTTTCAAGTAAATAAAATAGATCTTTTTAAAAAAGGGAAAAGAAAAAGACCCCTTTGGACTTCTAATTTTCATAGCTGTAAGAATCTAAAAGTGTGTGGCTTTAGGCCACAGTTTGTGGCAACTGATTACAGCAACGGTAAGAAATTAATGCAGGCCTCAAGATTCCAGCACCATCTTCTGTACCAAGCTGCCTGTCCTGTGAGCCAGGGCCATGGAATCCCGGTCCCTGATCCAGGCTGGTGGAGGAGTCAGTGCACAGACTGTCCCCGCCCCTGGAGCAGCAGCCTGCACCTGGTTCCACTGCTCTCCACCTGGAAGACCTTAGGAAAGGCCGTGATGGTGTGCTTGTGGGGATGGAGCCACCCATGTGCCCAGAGCAAACCCCACCTGGCCCAGCCTGTTATTCAAGACCCCTTGCAGTTGAACTCAACCTGCCACGACTGACAAGGCTGGAGGGGAGTCTGATGATCAAGCCCTGGTGAGTCCCCAGGGCAACACCGTGGCCTGGCTTGTACACCAACCTGGCTCCATTCCAAAACACAAGCTGTTTCGTGGCATTCTTGGAAGGTAGTGTTTCCCTGTCTGCTTGAATACCTCCGGAAACGGGGAGCTCACTGTCTGCAGGCCAGCACCATGGGACGCTGCTGCTGTTGAACACAGTCTGGCCCCTTCGAAGCACCCGCTGGGGTTGAACCCCTCCGTGAGGGGTGGGGGGGTGGAAGGGTAATGGATTAGAGTTTAGAGCTGCGGCCGTGGCAGGGGAGTAGGTTCAGATGAGGTCACCAGGGCAGAACCTCCAGGACTCAGTCTGGCTGCTTTCTAAGCAGCTGGAAAGAGGCCAGCACTTGCGCGCATGTGCTCGCATCACGTGATCCCCTGCGCCGCCTCCGCACTCCGCCAGCAGGGAGGGCATCACTGGACACGGGCCCTTGACCTTGAACCCGAATCAGGAGCCAAATTAAGCCTCTTTTCTTTATAACTTATCCAGTCTGCGGTATTATGTTATTAGCAAGAGAACGCTCAGACAGATGGCAAGTCCTTCCTTAGAGAGGTTGGTGGGTATGGGAGTCCTGGTCAGGCCCTGCCCTCCGGGAGGGCGGGAGGTGTACAGCCAGCCACAGCACCTTCCTGGATGGCCACACAACTGACCTGACCCAAGTCCTGCTAGGGCGGGCCAGGCCCAGGACGCCATCAGCCACACACCCAACCCCAGCCGTGTTTCTGTGCCTTGTCCACACATGATGGGAAGAAAACTTGCTATGTGCATGCCACACATATGAATAATTTTTAAATTTTTATTTATTTCATTTGAAGGCAGAGAAAGAGATCTCCCACGCCAATGGACTCTCCGAATGCCCGCAACCGTCCCTCACTGGGACAAAGCCGGGAGCCTGCGGCCTGACCCAGGTCTCCCACGGGGGTGGCAGGCACGCGACTCCCTGAGCCATCACTGCTGCTTCCCCAGATGCACATTAGCAGGAAGCTGGATCGGGAGCAGAGCTGGGGCTTGAATGCAGGCATCCACTGTGCCACACGGGGACCTTACCTGCTGTACCACCCCAAAACGTGCTTTCTAAACACCAGGAACACCTACTGCTAGCCTGGAGTGTATTCTTCCTCCTCCCCTCCTGGGGCCCCTCCCAGCCTCAGGAGACCCTCAGGTCTGATGTGGGGGCCTCCCCCCGCCACTTCCATCCCTGCAGGAACTCTAACTTCTCTCCAGGCTCAGCAGTGACGTCGTCACGGGCAGGTTTTTTTCCTGTGTCACTATTTTTAAAGCATCTGGGATCCTCCTGACACAGAACTATTTATGGCAGCCGATCCATCCTGTAGCTGCGCGACGGGAAGTTCCTGAGATAAGGACGCAGGGCAGTGAGTGGGCTGGCCAGCGAGGCAGGGCTCCCACTGTCGTGGCACCAACGCCTTTTGCTTCCACTTGTTGAGCTTGTTTCTATGACTGCTCCTCCTAGACGACACAGAAAACAAACATCCATCAGGATGTGCCTGCCGCGGTCAGGCGGCTCCAGCAAAAATCATCTTTGATCAGCCGCACTGCCTTCGGGCGTTACCAGTGTTTTCAGTTTCTCCACCGCCTTCCCTCACCCCATAAACCACAGGTGCTGGTGCTAAGAACAGCGCAGTGCTGGATCTACCCCGGCTGGGGGCTGAGCACGCGGCTGCACCTGCAGTGCTGCCCCCTCCCCCGGCAGCTATGGGCTCCCCGCTGTCTCTGCTGTGGACGCGTGGGAACTCCGGGCCCTGGTTATCAAGGCACACCTACTGCCCCAGATCCCCCCAGCCTCGGTGGCAGGGCATTTTGGGGTCAGTGCCCACAGTCCACTGCAAGAACCACCACGGCTGGAAACAGGTGCTTCGAGATTCTGGGCAGAGGGGGGAGGGATTGAGAGATGTGGCTGCTGCCCAGAGTGGGGAGACTGTGGTGTTGGGGGGCGGGGGTGAACATTAGAGCAAGGCTCTGCGCCTTTCAAGGCAAAAGGCCACCACCTACTGAAGCAGGCAGGCATACAGGCTAAAATTGGTTAGATTTGTGAGCCGGAAGACCACGCCTTTGCCACGCCCCTACGTGACTTCACGCCCTACCTGATATCTTCACCATGCCTCTGTGTGACCTTACATTCTACCTGATACCCCACCACGCCCCCATGTGACATCAGGCTCTACCTGACCATACCTGAGCGCCCATCTGGCCACAAGCCACTCCCCTGTGGAAAATCAATAAAAAGGCAGGGAGTGTCGCTCTCCGCCTCTGCGGTGCTGCCGGTGATAAGCGGTGGACAGCAGCTGGAGGTGCTCGCTGCACGTGGCTCTGGCCTGCTCTCCGAGTGGTGTGGACGCTACTCCAGCTCCCAGCCTTTCCCCTCTCTCCTACCTGAACTAAAGCCTTCACTTTCCTAGATAAGTCTTGCACTAAATAAAAGCTTAAAATGTCTCATGCTGCCTCATTTATCTGTGCCGGTACTTAGAATTCTTCTCTAAATATTAGGCAAGAACCCTCTTGGGCTTATTAATATCGGGGATTTAGTAATAAGCCCGTGGTGAAATCGTATGGCACCCCAAATCCCGGTAGTACACGTGGCACCCCAGATAGCATTTCTAGGGAACTTTAAGGGGCCACATTTCAGTGTGAATTTTAGGGGGTCTTCTCCGATTTCACTACCTTTGCTCTGGGGAATGGATGGAGGGGTGGGGACGCAGTGAGCTGCAAAGAACCCTCCCTCCCTGCTCCAGCGGAAGACAGCCAGGGGGCTTCTGCAAGGCCTGTGGGGCTCCAAGGCTTTGTGCACCTTGGTGATCACAGCCACTGGGTTTCCCTTCCCCTCCCAGTGCCAGACGTGCCCTTCCAGGAAAGCCGTGCTGGCCGATAAAATAATGAATCATAAATTTTATTTCAAAATGGAAACGTCACTAAACATGCATACACATTAAAACAATAAAATTTACAATTTCGTTAATTTTTTTTCCTTTTTGCATAGGACATCATTACAATATAGAATCTATGCCATACAAAATACATACAAAGTTTTATCCGAGCAAGCCAAGGCCAGATTGGGAACTGTACACTGTAATACTTCACTGTAGTGATCCAGGAAAGACGAGACGTGGCCTTCGGAAGTGTGGTGGGTGCTGGGGGGGGGTCGGGGGAGAAGTTCCTGCAGGAAAGGAAATGTGAGCTCGATGGAAATGGTCTTGGACCCTTGCGTTCTGCCTTGGGATGCTGGCAAACGATTCCAGAGACGCTCCACCAATGGTTTGGGATGAGAAGGGGTCGCCAGTGAGAGCCTGGGATCAATGTATCCATACACCCACACAACGCAATTCCAGGTCCCAAGAAGCACACAGCCAGGCCCAAACCTGACAATTGCATAAGTCTCCCAGTGAGGAGCCCCGTGTGATGCTGGGGTCCCCAGTACTCAGCACCAGGCCGGCTTTTCCAGGGTGAGGGTAGGGAGCAAGTCCCCCACTCACTCACCCAGAGGCAGGCACTCTGATACAAGCATGGACGCTAGGACCAATGTCCCGCTGGGACGTGGCCCTCGCTCCTCTCAGGCAGCCTGGGGAGGGATCCGCCGAGTACAGTCAGCTCCGCAGAGGATGGACGTGGCGGCCTCGAAGGCGTTTGGCTCACACCCTTGGCTTCAAATGAGCCTGCAAGCAGCCATCAACCTCCAGCCCCCATCCCCCACTTCCTGTGCCCAACCCCCCCCCTCCGGAATGTGTGACGTGGGTGGCAGGGGAGCAGGGGACACTACTTCTTTCTCATCCTGTTTATTCTTAAATAAAACCAAGTCTTAAAGCTAAAGAAGGGAGAGCTGAGCAGGGCCAGGCCTGGATCTCGACAGGGGTCAGCAGAAACTGAGTGTGGCCCCTCTTCCTTCGGGACATGGGGGTCCCCACTTCCTGCCAAACTCACTTTTCTGACTGATGGGGAGTGACAATGGGCAGCAGGAAGGCCAGCATGTCAGTATACGCTGGACTGTGCTTCTAGATTCTCTGGCATATGTCTAGGGCAAACACTCAAAGCCTCAAAATCAGGAGAATCAGGCACAGGCCCTGGCTCTTCTCCCAGGGGGGGCCGACCTGATTTCACATCTCGATTTTAGCTTTGGAAAAAATGGTCACCAAAATTCACACAGGAAAACTTCGGATGGCAAAAGCCATGCATGACCTGCAAAGCATTTCTCCCTGGCTGTGAAGTGACCAACACATGAAACCCCTTCGAGCCTTCCAGCACTGTGTCTTTGATGAATGACCTTTTCCAAATGGGTTTCCAAAAAAAAAAATTTTTTTAAATAAATACTGTCAGAAGTCAAAATGGTCAGGTAGCCTTGTAAACACAGCCACGCCTGTGGGACCCTTGCGCTGGCTGGCACACACGCTGCCTGCCGAGATCCTGGAGCCTATAACCCTCTGGCAAGAAAGAGGCCAGGGCTCCTGAACCCACTGGGCTGGGCCGGGGGCCACCCATCTGGGACGGCTCTGCCCGCACCCATCTCTGAATCACCCTTCCCTGGTCTGAGCGAGGTCCTGGGCCGCCAGCGTGTGGATGTTTGCACCGAGAGGCTGCACCTTGGCGAATCCTGCACCTGCCCCGATGCATAGCCTCAGAATAATGTCAGGAATTAGGGGGCGGAGCGGGGGCTCTTGTACCTCCAGTGCCATGGGGAGGGAGCTGCAGCAGGATGCAGTAGGGCACCTCCAGGCCTGCATTCCATCCCAGCATAGCACCGGGCAGCAGAGGACTCCAGGGCCCTGGGGGAAGGGCTGTGTCCAGCTGCATTTTTCGGTATGGCTGTAGGATTCAGTAGGCATCTGGGGGCTGACAGCCATCCCCCTGATATGGCTGATGCAAAAACGTTTTTTTCGTTTGAGACATGAGCTGAACCCTGGCCCCAGTGGCTGGGTCCAGAGTCACTTTTAGGCCTATTGATAGGGGTTCTCTCTTCGCTTCCAGACCTCTGCTCCTGTGGCCTCTAGAACTGAAGTCTGCCCCCAAAATAAAGGTTTGCATTTGCATTATTATTTAGAAGAACCCTATGGCTTCCTTAATCCCATCAAAACTGGCAAGCATGGCCATAAACCACAGAAACCAAAGACCCTGCGATGGACCCAGGCTGGGAAGACATTCCACATCCCAGAAGGGATGAGACGGGAACTTGCTGAGCTGAGTCTGAGACTCATGCTCCCCCCCCGGTCAAGTGAGATGAATTTGCGCCCCAGATGATGTAGGAGGGTCCCAATGGGGGGGTTGGTGAGAACACCCTGGTGGCGGTGCCCTGCCCCCCCCCATTTCCCAGGCTAAGCCCAAGGCTGCAGGACCACACCCTGCCACTAACCAGAACCACTTTGGGAGTGAAGAGGTTCATTTGCCAAAAATAGCCAGCGCCTGCATATTTCTGTTTTAAGGCAATGTTACCCTTCCATCTATCAGATGGAACAGCCCTGGGTCATTCAGAGGAAAAATTAAATTAAGTGCTCTCTTTGGAAACAGCCAACGCCCACTCTCCCTCCCCCACCCCCCACCCCGCTCTAAAACAAACCAGCTTTTTTTTTTTTTTTTTATTCCAAGATGACTGGGTTTGGAGTCCTTTTTCTCCCTTCCCATGTGCAGACAGATGTGGAGTTCAAAAACCGCCCACGGTGATGTGGCGACCTCCTCCCCTCGGCCCCAGGGCGCTCTGCCTGCCCCTCTCCCTGCCTTCAGAACCGTGGACGGTGAGGGCACCAAAGGACTTTGGAATAAAATTCCTGAACCTGGAATGTGAATTCCTGAGACGTGAAATGTAGAGTGTGGCTCTCTCTACCTCATGCAGAAACAGCTTTGGGAGGGACCTCACTTTGGAACTGGGTACAAAGATCTCTGCACCCCAAGTACCCAGGGCTCTCTTCGGTCAAGACCCCACCACATGTTCCACCCTGTCCCCCAGACCCGTGCAACAAGCACGGCGGTGGGGGCAGGGCAGCTCTGCATCTGGCCAGGGCAGGGTCAATGCATCACCACCCCCAGCCCCCACCCACAGCAGGAACAACACTACCCACCAGCTCAGTACCCATAATAATGCTACTGATAAGCTGCTTCCACAACACTAGCCAAATCTAGCTGACGCACAGTGGAGTTAGCGCTGGGTGCCCAGATGTCACAGACGGCACACTGGGCTGTCCCCACGCAGTGGCTGTGCACACAGGGTGCCCATCTACTCTGAAGTCACCCTAAAACAGAAAACAGCAGCCAGGGGCTGCAGGGGACCTGGGGCCTTTGGGGTCTCTCTGTGCTGCACCCCATGTCATGGGAGGGCCGGAGTGGAAGCAGTATGGCCACAACCAAGGCACTCTGGGCCCGGGAAGCCCACCTATGGCCCTCTGAGACCCCAAGGGCAGCTCCTCATCAAAACAAGGAGAGGTCTCTGCAAGATACCCCAAGCCGCCCCCACTGCTTCCCCACGTGTGCACACACACGCGGGCACACACACATACATACATACACACTGTCCTGGGGCCCTGTGATTACAGGCCCCGGCTTTCCAGGAGAAGGGAAGGAAGACCCTGGGCCACAGGGATGGGGAGTGGTCATTCGAGGGCCCGGCGAAGGAGCTCACTTGGACACGGCCAGACTGTCCCAGCCTGGGCCTCAAACCTCAACCCAGCGCAAGTCACAGCTCTGTGGTCCTCGTCTCCTCCCAGGAGCAGGCTGGCGACAGGGCACTGCAGGCTGCTGTGGCCTGGGCCCCGCAGGAGGGGGCCAGGAGAAGCTGGAGACTTGATGAGTCTGCGCTGGGGACACAGAGGGTCTGAGAGCGTTTCCCACAGTCCTCGGCGCTCCCGGGGCGGTGGGAAGCAACAGCACGTTCTCCAGCAGCGCTTCCCACAACGTCGGCCACACTCCTGCCAACTTCCAAGTCCCAGTGCTCTGATCTGTCAGTACAGGGTGGACTCTGCAGAGTCCCCACACTGCCCACCACCACGCAGACCCTCTGACAAGCTGGCCTGCCGGCCTCGCCCACAGAAGTGCCTGGGGGACAGCCGCGGGGGCTGGATGGACCCACTGCACTTCCTGACACTTGTGCAGACGACCACGGTCCCCAGCCTCTGTTTGCCACACAACACAGGGTCCCCACGTGCCTTCTGCAGGGACACAGAGGTCGGGGTCCTGGGCAGGCGGGGCCCAGCCGCTGTCTCCTGCCAGGTCAGATGGTGCAATGCTGTGCCCACTCAGGCTCTGATTCTGGTTCTCCCAGGTGCCCCAGGCAAGGGCTCCTGGAGGTGGGGCCGGCGGGCGAGGCTCCCTCCATGGCTCCTCCTGGTGGAGTGCTCCTCTGGCCTGTCCTGGCTTAAGGCATCCCTCTGAGGCGGTGCATCCCTCACCGACCACGCCTGAGGGGCGAGGCAGGGCAGGGGCAGGGGCCTGGTCGCTTGGGAATCTGTGGGAGAAGTACAAACGTCCATGACGGCATGTGCCCGGGCCCTGGCGGACTCCGCCTGCACTGGTCAGCCCGCGCTGTCCCCAGCGTGTTCCCGAACCTAACAGAAAACTCCAGAGTGCAAATCTATGTACAGAGTAAGGCGCCAGGAAGGGGTGTCCTCACTGACCTCACAGAACGCGTCCATCCCTGAGAAAGGGGGTTCAACACCACTGAATCTCAACTTCATGGGTACGTCTGTTGTGCAATTTGTGAATGGTATTTTTGGAAATTTTTCGTTGTGGCTTTTTTTTTTCCTTAAAAAAAAAAAAACTGACTGACACCTGAGGTGAAGAAAAGTGTTTTCCCGTGGACTTTTCCTAAGTTCGCGGCTTCGTTCTCATTACAAAAGGACAGGACGGGGCCGGCGTGCTCACGGCGAGCTGGCCGGGCTGATGGTGGGGCTGCTGGCGTCCGAGCGGCTGTAGTCGCTCAGCGAGCCGGTCCGCGAGCCCCCGCCGCGCCGCTGCAGCATGCCCGGGTGGAAGTTGGCGTGGCGGCGCGCGTGCTTCGTCAGGTGGTCGCTGCGCATGAAGCGCTTCTCGCAGATGGGGCAGCTGAACTTCTTCTCGCCGGTGTGCGTGCGATAGTGCCGCGCCAGCTCGTCCGAGCGCGCAAACTTCTTGTTGCAGTCCTGCCAGCTGCAGGCGAAGGGCCGCTCACCTGTGGGCGACAGGGGCACAGGGTCAGTGTCACTTCGCAGGGGCCAGCTCCGTGACAAAGCAGTCCGCGCACGCGCACACACACCCGCGCGCGCACACACACCCACACCCACATGCCTGCGCGCGCACACACACCTGGGGTGGAAGCAGACAGTGATTTCGGGTGCTGAAGCACTGGTGGCCATTGCGGTGGGCAGCGCTCAGGGCCTGAGGTCCCAGTAGACCCCAGGAAGTACACCCAACACCAGTGCAGGCTCAGCTATCCCCAGCCGGGGGGTTGCAGGCTCCCGTCCAGGATCGACACCCACACACAGACCCTGGAGTCCTTACAGGACAGGAGGACAATTCCCAAACTCCAGCGCCAGCCACTGCCCTGACCCTGTCTTGTCTGCAGCCCGAGGGCATCAGACTGGGCCATTTCCAGGACCCGAGTCTGCTGCTCCCTCTTGCCCAAGGGCCTGCGTGGCCTGAAAGTGGAAGCCAGCACAGGAGGTCGTGGGTGGGAGCACGGTGGCTGACAAAGGCAGTGGCCTGGAGCAGTCTGTGTAGGGGTGCATGCAGGTGGGGGAAGCAGAACACAGGCAGGCAGGCGGGCGGTGGTGAAGGTGGGCTCAGATCCCACCCCTCCTCCCATCCCTTACCCAGGGCACCGACAGGGCAGCATTTACCCAGGCAAACTGTGAACTACAAAAGCAACACCAACTGCTCAAGGAGAACTAGTGGGGGGCTCTGGCACCCCATAACACAGCCAGTGGGCACTGGGGACAGCCACACGGCTACCTGTCCCCCCTTACTGCACACAGGCTAGAGCAGGGTGTTCAGATCCTTAAATGGGGCCGACCTATGCCCGGTAGAGCAGACCCACACCACCCACCCACTTTAAACATGGACGGATGGCTCAGGGATGGCCAGCCAGCCACTGAAAATTCGCAGCACGAAAGGGAAAAGCCAAGAGCAACAAAACCACCAACTCCAGAGGAAAAGGAGTGAAGGCAGGAAATGCTAACGTAAAGTGCTAATCAGTATTCTCAGAGGGATCTCAGACAAAATTTGATGTATAAAGCAAACAGGATACCATTAAAAAGGAAGTTCAGGGAACAAAAAAAATAGCATTTGGAAACTGAAAATCCTGTTGCCCCAACAAAAATTCCACTAAAAAGCTAGAAACACACTCCAGGAAATATCCCAGAAAAACAGAACCAAAAACAGTTCTAGAAACTATGTGAATGCCACCATGTCCCATCTCCTTGGACCTCCAAGGCCAAGGGCCACACGGAGCTGTACTCGCTCCCCCCACTGGATCTATGTTTGCAGAGAAGGGTGCTGGGGAGGGGATTCAAAACCAACTAGCCGCCACCATTTTCCAAACCCTTTGGACAGTCACAAGGAACCAGTCCAGGGAATTCAACATCTAATAGGAGCATCTATTAAGAAAATAGGGGGCCGGCGCCGCGGCTCACTAGGCTAATCCTCCACCTTGCGGCGCTGGCACACCGGGTTCTAGTCCTGGTCGGGGCGCCGGATTCTGTCCCGGTTGCCTCTCTTCCAGGCCAGCTCTCTGCTGTGGCCAGGGAGTGCAGTGGAGGATGGCCCAAGTGCTTGGGCCCTGCACCCCATGGGAGATCAGCATAAGTACCTGGCTCCTGCCATCGGATCAGCGCGGTGCGCTGGCCGCAGTGCACTGGCCGTGGCGGCCATTGGAGGGTGAACCAATGGCAAAGGAAGACCTTTCTCTCTGTCTCTCTCTCTATCTCTCACTGTCCACTCTGCCTGTCAAAAAAAAAAAAAAATAGGAAAAAACAGAAGAGAGGACATTACAAAAGAAATAAAAGGCCAGCATCTGTCAGTGAAAGAGAAGAGGGGAGACCGACAAGGGAAGAGGTGGCGTGGGAGCCGGCAGGGTGAGTGAGTGAAGGCCCTTGTCTCCAATTCTGCAGTGTCAGAACTCCAGGAGAAACAGGAGGTCCCAAAACTTTTTTTTAAAGATTTATTTATTTATTTGAAAGGCAGTGTTACAGAGAGGCAGAGAGGCAGAGAGGCAGAGAGGCAGAGAGAGAGAGAGAGAGGTCTTCTACCGGTTCACTCCCCAAATGGCTGGGACAACCAGAGCTGGGCCAATCTGAAGCCAGGAGCCGCGAACAACTTCTGTGTCTCTCATGCGGGTGCAGGGGCCCAAGCACTTGGGCCATCCTCTACTTTCCCAGGCCACAGCGGAGAGCTGGATCAGAAAAGGAGCAGCTGGGACTCGAACCGGTGCCCATATGGGATGCCGGCACTGCAGGCAGCAGCTTTACCAGCTACGCCACAGCGCCGGCCTCCCAAAACTTAACAGAGAGGGAAAGGAGAAACAAACACCAGAGTGAGCGTGAGGGAACAAGGCTGGGACAGATGGCAGGCCTCTCCTAGGGCACACGGGATGCCTGGAGACAGGACAGAGCCTTCTGCGTGCATAATTTCCATACTCCAGCAAAACGAGAAGAAACCTGACGCCAGGGACAAGTGAACAGTGACACAGTGGCCTGAGAGACCATGGGAGCAAAACACCAGTGCTCACAGGGGGGCAGTGTCAGGAAGAAAGTGAGCTCTGGGTGCCAAAGAGTACAACCAAGACGCTGAGTGAACTCCTCAACGCAGAGAAGATGCACGGCTATTCTTTGTTTTCAAGAAAAAAGAGAGGCAGTGAGAAACTCCAGGAAAAACAGAAGAAACTTAGTCCAAATTAGAAGTAAACTAAATGCCACATGATTATGAGCAACGGGTGAAATGAGCCAAGTGCTGTTCTATTATTTATCCTTCATAACAACCCCATGAGATGGCAGAAAGAAATGTAATCCTAGCACAAGCCTTGGCAGCCAGACAAGCTATAGTCATGGTCACATAAACCCCAGCACTTGCTGTCAGTGTGCAGGATCAATCTGAGAGACCAAACATCTACAACCGACCCATAGCCCAGCAGACACGGTGCATTTATGCAAAGGAACAAAGATGCTTACACAGCGTACAGAGAAAGTCCAAGTGAGTGATAGAGGGTGAGAGTTACAAGGATGATCAACAACAGAATCAGAGTAAGAACACATCCACCAATGAGGGAAGAGGTGGGAGGAACGGTGAACTGATACAAACAGAGACTACCTAACTCTAACACACAGCAACGCAATCACACAGTTCACTTATAGCAGTAACTACCAAGACAACGAAAATCAGAGCGCGAAGTGCTGGCGGGTGGGGTGGACTGGGGAAGGGAAGGGTGCTTCAGGTTGTAAGCTCTTCTGTGTTATGATTCTTAAAAAAATCACCTAGTTTCTTTAATGGCAAGAAAAAGGTCTATTTAAATATAATCCTCTATCTAGCTTAATATATCCCAAATCATGCTCAAAGAAACTTTAGTATTGAAGAAACTGCTAGTTAGTTCCAAGAAAAATAAAATCTCGTCAACAGAAAAGCTTGGAAACTGTCCCATGGTGATTCCACTCTTGGAGACTCAAGATCACATCAGTGAGTAAAAGCTTAGACGGCTCCAGGATGCCTGTGTCCTCACACAGGTGAGGCTCAGACCCCGGCTCCTCCACGTACGGATGGAGGTGAATGTGGTCCCTACAGAGGTAAGCCCTAACCTGTGAGGGCGACCCTACTTGGAAGTAGCCAGGCTCTTCCCAGTGTAACTAAGGTAAGGGGCTTGAGCAGAGACAGCAAGTACCCTCAGAAGAGGACACAGAGAGACGAGGCCATGTGAGGATGGACGCAGCGACTGGCTGCAGCACAAGCCAAGGAACACCAAGGGTTGCTGGCGGCAGAGGTCAAGAGAGAAGCAAGGGCTGCATGCTCCTTGGAGGCCCCGGGGAATGAACTTTGCCAACACCTTGGTTTTGGACTTCTGGTTTCCAGAGCCCCCAGCACGTGGTCCTGTGTTACAGCAGCCACAGGAGAGGCGTGCACTGCCTCATCCTCACCGTGGGGCCCACACGGTGGTTCCACGGGGCTGTCCACAAGCAGCCCTAGCCCTGAGCATGTCCCACACATCCACTCCTGAAACACCGGCTCTCAGCATCCCAGTCCACTGGGCCCCGGGGAAGGATGGCGATGCATCCCAAACTGAGAGCCCCCTCGCTCCCCAGCAGCCCCGCATCCTTGCTGGGGTTGTCCTCTTTGGAGTCCTGCTTGCAACCATGGGAAACAGGTGAGGTGGGCCTCGCCACGGAAGGATCTCGTGATGCTGGGGCCGGAGAAGCGCGGCCTCGGGGGGGGGGGGGGCAGCTGGTCCAGGCAGCCGGGGGTGAGGAAGCTGGGGAGAGCCTGAGTCGCCCCTCAGCCAGCACACCCTGGCTTCCCTGGGCAACAGCAGTGCCATGAGCTCACTGAGCACGTACCCAAGGCCTGGCCCCGGGGACACAGTCCTGACCCAGGCTTGCTTCTACCAGCCTATTTCAGGAGAGGTAATGACAAACGACCTGGTGCACAAACAGAAGTCCTGATTCGCGCTGGCAAGGAGCAGCCCTGGCGCTGGCGGGGCAGCCGCTGAGCGGGGACATGTGAGCAGCACCCAGGAGGCTGACGGGGGCAGTGGGGGTGGGGGACTGAGAGAAAACAGGGGTCTCCAGGGCACTCCCACTCCTACTTTCAAGAGGGGCCCAAAGAGCTTCGGCTTTTTTTTTTTTTTTAGATTTATTTTATTTATTTGAAAGAGTTACAGAGAGAGGTAGAGACAGAAAGAGAGATCTTCCATCTGCTGGTTCACTCCCCAAATGGCTGCAATGGCTGGAGCTGTGCCAATCCAAAGCCAGAAGCCTGTTCCGGGTCTCCCACATGGCTGCAGGGGCCCAAGGATTTGGGCCATCTTCTACTACTTTCCCAGGCCATAGCAGAGAGCTGGATCAGAAGAGGAGCAGCCGGGACTAGAACCGGCACATGTAAGGGATTCCGGTGCTTCAGGCCAAGGTATTAACCTGCTGCACCACAGCACCGGCCCCATGGCTTTATATCCAGATACTTTCCGGATTAGGC